ATCAAAAGTCTGTGCTATCTTTCTTTATTCCTTGAATTAATATGATTACAAAGACTTATTCTGAGTTTGCACTACCTAATATCAGCTTGCATACATTATATAACTTATATATTGCACAAATGCCTATGACCTCTCAATTTTTTTAGTGCCACCAAGATTACAAAGATTCTGTTTCGACCAATCATTGAAAGACAGTAACTGTTATACAAGTCAAATATTCAAAATTTCATCATCAGTAGGTTTCGAACTTCCAATTTGCCAACATTCTGCTTGGGGTGTAATAATTTAACTACTTCACTAAGTCATCACACCCTATGTTAGTAGTAAATTTTTTAAATAAGTCAATAAAAGTAGAGTAAATAAGCTTAAAATAAATTAAGAATGATTTGTTAATAATAGAATTATCTATATATAAAGGGTGTCAGTAGAAACCAAGCAATTTGTAGGGTTCTGCATTTGATTTGATTTGATTCAAATATTTGATTTCAAATCAAATTCAAATATAGATTTTCAAATCAAATCAAATTCAAATTGAAAGATCAAATATTTGATTTGATTTGAAAATATTTATAAATAGCTAAAATTTGAAGAATTATAGGTTCATAAGCTATTTTCTCAAAATTTTACAATTACTAATTTGGTTTTATAAAACTAAGACTATTTTGATTAGAAGAATATATTTTATTTAATATACAAAATCAATTAGCTTAATAAAATTTTGTGAAAATTGAAAATATTTATAAATAGCTAAAATTTAACAAATTATAGTTCTAGAGGCTATTTTTTAAAATTTTATTAAGACAATCACTAATATGGTTTTATGAAACTAGGGCTATTTTGATTAGAAGAACATTTTTTATTTAATACACAAAATCGATTAGTTTAATAAAATTGAAGATATTTATAAATAGCTAAAATTTAAAGAGCGATAGTTCTAGAGGCTATTTTCTCAAAATTTATTAAGATAATTGCTAATTAGTTTTATGAAACTAGGGCTATTTTGATTAGGATACTATTTTTTATTTAATACACAGAATCAATTAGCTTAATAAAATTTTAAGAAATTCAAAGATATTCATAAACAGCTAAAATTTAAAAAGTTATAGTTTTAAAGGCTATTTTCTCAAAATTTTGTTAAGACAATTACTAATTTGGTTTTATAAAACTAGTGATATTTTGATTAGAAGAACATATTTTATTTAATATACAAAATCAATTAACTTAATAAAATTTTTAACAAATCGAAGATTTTTATAAATAACTAAAATTTTAATTTGATTTGAAATTTTAAAATCAAATAATTAAATCAAATTCAAATCCAGATTTTTTAAATCAAATCAAATTCAAATCCAAATTTTCAAATCAAATCAAATTTAAATAAGTCTAATATTTGATTTGATTTGATTTTAAAGAACTTTAATTACAACTTTTTCAAATATTCATTGTTTTTTTTTTTTTTTTTTTTTAAGTTTTATAACTAGCCTTTTTGGAACTAAGGTTTTTATTCAAGTTTATAGATGAGGGCTTGCAAGGCATCGTTAGCTAGAGCTTTTCTTATTTACAATCTGGTTAACCTAGACTTCAATAACTTATATTGAGTCCGAAGACAAGTACTTGCAAGCCAAAGCTGCTGCCGCTACCTATTTCTGCCCTTGCAAAGTTTATCCAAACCTCAACACATACTTTACAGACTATCACCAGTACCTAAGTTTCATTAGTAATCTAAACTCCCAATCCAGATAGCTCAGAGGAGCTGTGACCTGCTCTGGTCTCTACGGTTAGGACCTTTTCCTCTGGTTACTTGTCTGACGACCTGGTTGGTATAGTGTTTTGCCAAATACTGATTCTTGTTCAGATCATTGAAATCAGTGTCCAGATCTCTAGATAGCCTTTTATGTAGTACTGTCAAAGATCTGTGCTACCTTTCTACTTAGAACTTGCCAAGCAGACTTCTGTGTACCCCAATATCTGGATTTACATAGCTGTTTTACTCAGGTTTCATGTAACTCATATGTCACACTACAGTTTCACAGCTTCCCAATAACCCCTAGTACAACCAAGTTTACAGATCTGATGATTCATCAGATTACATACAGTCTGCTGTAATACTTTTTGTAAAATTCAAAGTTTTGTCGCTAGTGGAATTCAAACTCTTGTCCTGCTGCTTAGAATGTGACAACTTAATCATTGTTTTTCTTACTATTTTGGTTTTGATAATATTATATTACTTTTTTAAGCAAGTATCTAATATTATTTTAAATTAAAATTTATTTATACAATTTGTTGATTATCCTTCTAAGCAAGTACTCCACAAGTTAGATGCAGAAATATTAGTATTGCCTAATACAAATATAAAGGATATTAGTGTTGCCTCTAAATCACCCAATTAAAGGTCTTATTTGTACAATTTTTTATAGTTTAAATCTTCTGTAATACTATTATTATATATGATATCTGTATTCTATAATTAGAATTCTTTCTGTAAATTCTTATTCCAAAACTATACTTGCATTTGGGCTTTCTACAAAGCTTCACATCTGATTATGGTTCTATAAGGTTATAGTAACAAATTTGAAAATTTGCCACCAGCCTAACTTGAACCATTGATCTTGTTTGTAGAATTTGAAAGCTTAATCAATAAACTACAGAGTCCAAACCTTTAAAAATGTTTATTAATAGTAGTAATAATTTTAAAATTTATAGTAAATTAATTTTGATTTTTTGTTATTAACCATTTCTAAGAAAACGTTGAAGCCAGATACTGGTTGAGTTACTTTTGATACATTTATAATTAATGATTATATAGATATCAAGAATACAATTTATGAATCTGTAGATCAATACATATGTACCTGGCCCCTGTTCAGTAACTGCATGGTGATTATTTTTAGCAAATAATAAAACATCTGTTTGAGAAGCGAAAATTTTGAGCGCATAGTCTGAGCAGCGCAGCTTAGAGCATGCGCTAAAATAGTAATAGTAGGACTTTATACAATCGTTTTAATTTTGTGAAACCACCTATTTCCTAAAAAAATTAATCTGAGACTTTGATTTTTTAATAATTTCTTAAAAAAGCAAAAAAGCAACGCTAGTATTTCCGTGCGCTAACTAATAAATAATTGGCGCTAACTAATAATTAAAAATATTTTTCACAGTCCCTGAACGATACATTCAGTGATTAACCAATCAGAATTAAAGCCCGCGGAACCTCGAGTCGAGTGACAGGGTTGCCACAATACAGTATAACCCTAGTATAACCCGGGTCACCCACCCAGGAGTAGATTATGCAAATCGGCCCGAATTTGGGTCGGAATAGGCCGGAACTAATAAATTTTTTCTAAAATCACCACAAATTTTACTAATAAAGTGGCAGCCTATGCACTAAGTAAAGCTGCCCAAATGATAATTTTGCTATAATATAGTCGACCGGTATTATTGCTTAATGCCACTTTGCTCCGGCCCATCCCTGACCCAAAATTCGGGCCGATTTGCTGAATTTTGGTGGACCCACTAATCTATTCCCCACCGAGGGCCAATCACTAATCGGAATAACCCTTGAATTTAGACCTCGAATCAGACTTGCAAACCACTAATACATAGCAAAATTATGATTCATATCGGCTAGAATTTGATTAATCAAGTCTAGAGATTCGGGTTACACGAAATCTCAACATGATTTATGCTAATCTACTACTGTACTAGTTTTGATTTACTTACGTACGTACGTACGTAGCTGTTAGAAACTGTACCGGTACGTACGTACGTACGTACGTATCTGCTTGCACTTTAACAATTCGGAACATAATGTGTACCATTCCGGCCTATTATCCAATCAAATTTAAACCCTCTATGCTATGCTAACGGATGCTATATATCAGATAAGTACGAACGTACGTACGTACTGTACGTAGTTTAAGTAAATTCATATGCAAACCTAATAAAAAATTTGAAATTTAAAATCCTATATTTTATAAATTATTTCTCCACTGGGTTATATCCCCTTTTATTTGTTACCTTAGTTATACAGTATCCCCATATTTAGGCTGAATAACATTTCTATTTTTTATGTTTTATATATAATGAGTTAAATCACAACCTTAGTTATATCCCAAAAAATTAAAAAACATATAGAGAAAAAGGGGTGATATAACCCAGGTACGTACGACTGTAATAATAATAGTATTTACTACATTGGAAACATCAATACTTTGTTTCGAAAACAAAAATTTATTATTATTACTATATACTAGCTAAATACAAAACTATATACAAAACTAAGTGGCACAACACGTCTTTTGGTAAAGGTTGTGATAACTTATAGGAAAAAATTGTTATTTAAAATAAAGAGTAATAATGCTTCACTATATAATAATAGATAATTTATTCACATATGTACGTATGGGCGTACTGTATGTACGTACGTATAAGATATCGACCAAAATTCACGCGACAATAACCATTGGAATGCAACAACTTCATGCCCTTCGATAAGATATTGGCTTAGTCGGTCATGGTTCTTACACAAATGTTGTCATCTAACATAGCACAAAAAAATTTAAATACACTCGTTTGATGTTACGCTATATACGTTTTGTTTATATGTGCAATAAACGAATGTTCGAAAAATACTAAATGAACCGCATTTTAATGCAGATGTCACATTAAATTTTAGCGTGATATAGTTAATTCTTAAAAAGTGCTTCAAAGAATCCGATTGGTCTCTTGTAGTCAAATGACATATGTGCGTAATAAACCTTCAACACTTTAGTTGTCTGCAATTTAGTAATACAATGTAGTATCTTTGTTAATCTGTTTTGCTTAAAGAACATAAAGGATCACCAATTGACCTTGTTCAGTAATTAATTAAGCTATATAATATCGAACAATTTACGATCAGCTGGAAATATTATTCACGAATACAATATTCTTGGTGACTTTCGCTTCCATCATATTTTTCACTCTTTTTTTAACTTTTAACAAGGTTTTTTTTTAACTAAATGATGGGCGGCAAATTATACGGTGCTACCACTTTCCAGCAGCGTAAAACTCACTCTATTATTACAACACAATCTACATCACCATCGACAAATTCCCTAATAACATCAATAATTCCGCCTGAATTATATATTAAAATTTGTGAATATCTTACACCTGATGAGTTGTTTTCTTTATCTCAAGTATCCAAATATTTTAGAAATTTATTATGCTCTCCAACTTCATCTGCAACGCAAGCGATATGGCGTAATTCTAGACTTCGATATTTGATTTATCCTAGGTGTCCTACACCACCAGATGGAATGGATGAAAGACAATATGTTCTTATTACAAATTTAGCGATAAGATGCCAATTTTGTTTTCATCCTAGAAAACAATCTCAAATTTATTGGGCCTTCCGTGTTCGATGTTGTTTAGATTGTTTTCATAATCGAACTGTTAGGTATTTATTTTTTCAAAAAAAAAAATTTTTTTGTTTTTTTTGAGAATTTCATTAAAAAGAAAATATTGTTTCTAAAAAAAAATTATTTTCTAGTGAATATAAGCTTATAAACTATTATAAAATTCCAAAAGAATCATTATGTGGGCTTACTTATACCGCACCATGTAATTACAAAATCTATTGGAAAGATGATATCCAAGCAGCACAAGAAAAGTATGCGGCAGCTCTGGAATCAAATAATCTTAGTGATTATGTTAAAAAACAAACCATCAAACTTAATAAACAATTAGAGCAAATAGAATTACAAGAGTGGGAATTCAAAAATGAAATGGCAAGATGGAATTATCAAAATACTTTATTATTTGATGAAATTAAATTAAGATCTAGTTGTATTGCAGAAGAAACTGCCATCGAAATGGGTTTAAATGTTGAAAAGTTACAAGATTGGGGAATTTATTGGTATCCGATTGGTAACGTTTGTAGAACTTTAACTGAAGATGATTGGATCGATTGGAGACGTGAAGTTGAAACTGAATGTTCTAGGATTAAGAGGAAAAGTCAGAAATGGTTTCATAGATTTTCTATAAGATCTACTATTTATTAAAATTATTAGAATCTTGACTTAGAATCTTAGAATTGTAAAAATTGCAATTATGAAAATTATTATGAAAAAAATTATTTCAATTATTCCTATTATTTATAACTACTAATATTGATAGTATTATTATACTTGATTTAGAATTTATTAACCTCTTTTTATTAATGCTTATCTTAATACGTAGTAATAAACTTAATAAATTTAGATAATATATTCTATTAATTTTAACTACATTATTCTCATCAACTTTCGTACCAACTCGAAAATGTTTAATGATATAAAAGCTTAGAACAAGTGAAATATCTTCCAAGAACATAGAACTGGCGAAATTAAACACTTTCTACTGCTGATAAATTAATAACTTTGATTAATAAAAATTTCTGTTGTAACTTTTGAGAAATACCAAATTTTAAGGTTATACAATTCGTTCAATTAAGTTTGATATCACTAAATCCCATCATGTTTACAAATATCGATATGTTTAAGCTTTTAAAATTCATGTGAAAAAAAATCTCGAATTCATCTCTTGAAGTAGTATTTGCCGCCGTTACCACTTGTTGATTGCTGATTTCGACTAATTCGGAAATAAGAAAAAACGCAATCAAAGTTTAAGTTTTAAGTTTTCCTAATTAGAATACAGTATTAAATGACTTGTTCATTGCCGCTTCCTTTTATTAATAAAAGAATGTAACAATTACCGACGGGCAAACAGGTTATTTACATAATTCAATTTTAAACTTATCTAAAACAGGCTACCGGTTTTAACATATCGATCGATATGTACGTATAATCATCGTATCGGCGCTTGATTATGATTGAAGACACAATATCGATATTACCAATCTATCAAACTTTTGTATTATGTAATTAATATCGTCATACAACAGGATTCATTATAAAAATCCTTTTCGCCCTTTCTCAAATCGATTAACAATAATTTAAGGTTGGTTATTAAAAAATATTTTTTTTTATAATGAATAAAATTTTTTTCAATAATTACTTATTTTGATAGACATAATTATAGGAAAATGGGTAGATTAAAAAAGATCAAATCACCTTCCAAGTTATCGGTTTCAAAACCTTTAAACTCAAACTCTCCTTTATGTAAATTACCACCAGAAATCCTTTTAAACATTTGCAAAAACCTCTCGCCGTATGATTTAATTTCACTTTCAAAAGTGTGTAAACTATTTTACAATGATTTACGTCAAGGTGATTCCTTAACTATACAACAGATTTGGCGTGAATCTCGACTTTCTTTTATGCATTATCGTCAAATGCCGCCTCCTGATGGGATGAAAGAACGAGATTATGTTTTGTGGTTGTTGGATTTAAGATGTGAATTTTGTAAAAAGAAAACTTCATTAGATATCTCTTGGGAATTTAGAGTAAGAACGTGTTCTAAATGCTTAGATGAAAATTTTGTAAGGTATAGTAAATGCTTAAATTGAATTTTTCTTCTACTCATATTATTGCTCTATTTATTTATCTCGGTTCATGATATTATGTTTAGGCATAATGACCTATCACATTCTTTAACATCTGGTATTCCGTCTTTTATTTTAAACTGTGTTCCTTGGAAACGAGATGATCGGCATTATCGTGTCAGAATTTTTCAAGAAGAACAAGTCATAAAGAAATATAAAGAGTTTATAAGAGTACCTGAACACGAACGTGAAGAGTGGAAAAAACGACAATTGGATATGGTTTTACAGATTCAGCGAGATTCGAATATGCGTCGAGTTGAAGACGAATTAGCAAAAGAAGGTCGAAAAGAATATAGAAGGAAGACTATACGTGAAAAATTTAACAAAATGCTAAAAGAAACTAATGAAGATGGTTCTTTAAAATACAATGAGAATATTCTTAAAAATTGTCCGGCCCTTCATAACGCGTTCAATTATGATACCTATTTTAGCGAAAGGGCTTGGAAATTACTTAAAGGAAAATTAATTAAGGAACATAATATAAAGAATAAAATCAATGTAGTTTGAAAATTTACGAACATGCCTTGATTAGTTTATGTGTGATTAGTAATACTATAAAAAAAAATTATTATGATTGTGAATAGTATGAACAACTCATGTTACTAATTGCAACAAATATAATGCTGTTTTGTTGCACATATAATCTTTTTTTAATTATGGACTTCTAATAAAAGCAGAAACCGATACAAAACATTTAAAGTTGTTAATTTGTTTATTTACTGTCGCAGATCATAATTTAAAATGAAATCGACATTTTCTACTCAACCTGTTGACCTTCTAAAACCCACAAATACTTGTTTATTATAACTTTACTTTATAACTAACCCCTAACTCTAACCCCTAGCCCTAAAAAATACGCACCAAAAAATTTTATTTTTCGAAATTTTATAATATTATTTCATTTTGATCTGGATTTCATTATGATCTGTCACACTACTTTTGTTAATTTTTCTTTTGTTTTTGAAGTTTCTTGCTCTAATCTAAATCTATTTTTAATCTTATTGACCATTTTAGCAGCCTGTTTTTCTTTAGACTCTATTATCTATCTTATCCCATTGGCTATTTTTAAGTTTGCTAAAATGTTATTCATTTCTTCATATATGATATTTAACCAGGTTCTCTTCTTTTTGTAGTACTGCAAGATAATTATAGTTGTTTCTTTTTTTAAATGCAAGTTTCATATAATTAAGTACTTAAATTATATTCTATAATTTTTTATAAAGTTCTGCAATTTGTGCCTCAGCTTTTTTTTGTAATAAGTTTTTTTAGCATATTCTGCTAATATCAGATCTATTAAGATATCTTCATTTTCATCAAGTGCCTCTATTTATGCTTCAAATTCTTCTGATATAGTGATCATTTTTTCAGAACATTCTGTTAATTTTTGCTTTATGTGACTTGTTGTTTTTTTGTTGTTATTTTTTGTTGTTGTTGTTTATTAAGATTGTTTATCACCTTTGTTTATATTTGTCACGTAGTTTTTAGTGTGTTTCTTTATTATTCTTCATTACATATTGTAATTCCTGTATTATCAAAACAGATCTGCATTATAGAATCAAGGTCTATTTCCAAAAATTCACAAAATACAAAAAAATGACTAATGATTTTGTATAATTTTTTTTATTTTTGCTGCTTTTGCTTTTCTAACTCAAGTCTCTTAAAAGACTAAGTGTTTTCTACTATTCTCTTCTTTTTTCTTTAAAGCTTTAAGTCTAGTTTCTTAGTAATCTTTATATAATTTTTATAATTTTTGTTTATATAAATTTGTATATAGAGGATCAGCAGAGATCAAAGCATTATCACAATTCAATATACTAATTTTTTTATAATAATTATAATCTGTATATATCTGCTGTTTATTAAGAAAATAATATTAAATATAGAGTTATATAATTTAGCATATTTGCATTGTAATGCATCCTTGATCAACTAATTAAAATATAAGATCAGATGTAATATTACACAATCAGAAAATTCAAACAAGCATTCATTTTGCCAAAAACTGCTTATAACTCAAAATTTCGTATATGCAACTGCCTTTTGAGTTCTAACAAAAAAATTCTTTGCAAGATTTTACTATAAACTTATCATTTATATCTACTTTAACTTTATCTAACACTAATCCTAATCACATAAAAAAACATTATTTTAATTTAATATTATACCTGATCTTATAAGATGCATTACAACATATCTGCAATAAATGATTAAATTCTTAATAGACAAATCTTCAATCAACTAAACAAAAATTTTTTTTTATATATAAATTTTACTATAAGCTCGAATGTGAAGTGCTATTATCTAAAACTTTTTTTACTAAGTAAATCACTCTTGGGCTTGTAACAAAAGTTGTAAAGCTCAGCAAGATGCATTTAATAATAGTAAAAACATTAAAATCAGCTAGGTGGTTCTTGAGAAATCTTTAAAAAACTTCTTTTTTATATATAAAATTTTTTTAAAAAATTGATTTTTTTAGGGAATGTTTATTTCCACCATGGTGATATAAAATTACTATTTTTAGCATTTAATATAGAAAATATAATAAATTAATATAAAAAAATAATTTTTTTAAAATTAAAGAAGTTTTTTATTAAGTTAGGGTCTGTTGAGCTTCTAAGTAAAGTTGTAGAGAAGATTTTTCTGATTTTAATGGTGGTTAGATCATCAAAATTGGCCTTGAGAATCCCAAGATACTTGGAGTTAAAGATACAAATATAAGAATTTAATATAAAAAATCAATTTTTTTAAAATTAAAGAAGTTTTTATTAAGTTAGAGTTTGTTGAGCTTCTAAGTAAAGTTGTAGAAGAGACTTTTCTAGTTCTAATAGTAATTAGATCATCAAAATTGGCCTTGTGGATCCCACGAATATAAGGATCTTCAAATTGGTAGTTATACAAAGTATTATAAATTATAATACTTTGTATAACCACCAATTTGAAGATCCTTATGTTCACGTCTTTAACCTTAAATATCTTGGGATCCACAAGGCCAATTTTGATGATCTAATCCCAGAAAAGTCTCCTTTACAACTTTACTTAGAAGCTTAAGAGAGAATTACTTATTAAAATTTTCTTTAAATTTTAAAAAATTAATTTTTATTATATTACTATATATAATATAAAATATACTACTAAAGACGCAAATCACTAACTCTTCCTAACAATCACTTGTACCAAGTTTTCTCTAAAAACAATTGCACTTTTCTCAATATTTTATTAAGTAAACACATTCTGGCTGCC